AACGTCGGTCCCACCACAGCAAAGTAAACCTCTGTTATCCCAAGGAGTATATCCTTACAATTATGTACGCTTTTGTATCATGTTAATCATTAACTGGGATTGTCACTTTGGAGAACCCACGCCCGAAATCCGTCGACCAGTGGGACGCGTCCCACAAGTTGAGGAACAGTGCTGTGACGTGAGCCGATATTTACAGCAAGTGTATACTGATGGATGCAAAGCATCACAACCACTTAAACCTCTTGCCTTAGAACAGCGAATAATATTACTTTACAAAGTAGATAGCGTCGTTGTTTGAGGCACTATGCTACAATCCGCAAGGTCGCGGGTTCGAGTCATAATGAAGTGGATTTTTCAATTTACCTAATCCTTCCAGCCTCACTATGACCCTGGGGTCGACTCAGCCTCTAACAGAAATGAATAGCAGGAATCTTTCTGGGGGGTAAAGGACGGCTGGTGCGTAAGGCTGACAACCTCACCGCCATCTGTGAACCGATTATCTAGAAAACATGTGGGAACCTCGACGTCTCACAACTTTACGTGCATTCACGGCTTGTTACACGAATAGCTTTACCTCTTTTTTTACAAGGCAGAGACAGGAAATGTAAACACAATAATTATTGAAAAATTTATGGAAAATACATTTTTGGAGAGTAATAAATAATAGGGGCTACGTATCACAGCTAATAGCGATAACTATTTCCTGAAATATATTACTTTTTAAATTGATTTATAATTAATTTTACATGCCTGATAATAAAAGATTACTGGAAACAATGTAATATACAGCTAAATGACCTTAATCTCTTATTTATGTAAATCCTAACAGGCTCTAGTCTCGTTTTGTAATCAATTACTGAAATTTAATGACAAGTAATGAAGAATTTGATGATGACTGATACGGTGCATCAGGGAAACGTTCCAACGAGCCTCGGCCATGTGTAGAATTCATCAAGTGTAACCACCTGGGCAACTGTTTCATGTGTACAGGAGAACTTACATCCGATTACAGGGATTTTAGTGTCAACATAGAGGGTGGGGGTGATTAATTTTAAAGCTATGATGATGGAGTGCAGTGCGACCGGTTCTGACTTCAAATGAGTGATTGTACGGCCCCTGTGATGGAGCAGTGGATTATATAGGAAAACAGTCCATCACCGAACCCAAAATCTATCGGAAACGAGAGTGGCGTTTTGGTATTGTGCTTGCTTGGCTATAATGATTGATGTTATTTGTGATTTTATTCAGTCACACCATGGCATGTTTATCCGACCCAAATGGGTTCAATACCTTAGCACAAACACCATGTTAGAAGAATGACTATTGATTTTACTCAATATTTATTATGCATGTTATATACTGTTAGCAGTAAGATCATAGACCGCCTCTGTGGTCTAGTGGTCAGAGCTTCTGGCTACAGATCCTCTATCCGCAAAAGTTTGCACTAACTACGCCGACAAGCGGCGGTCGCTAGGTCGGTATAGGTCGGACTAGAAGCAACGGAGTTTTTACAGTTTTAAATATCATTAGTAGTGAGATAATTGAAATTCAGTGGAAAATTCTAGACGTATTATTACATTCCATAAATTCTAGTTCCTTTCCATTTTTTCTCCCTTATAAAGCATTTTGAGTACGTTTCTTTTTAATGTGGCTTAAGATACACTGATAAATTCTATGAACTTAACTACTAGTGAATCTGTGGTATAAAATAAGCATCCTGATTTTCTCTTACCCTGTTTCTCGGATTTCTGGAGTATAAGGGTCTTGGACAAACAGCTGCTTAGCTACAGTAAAGGAGTGAGTTCATTAACTGAACTTTCCCTCTCATTTTACGAAGGAAACAATGTTACTCCTTTAAATTGTTCTGCACCGCTTCCAGCTTTAGAAAGTAAACTTTCTCTTCGGTATTTTTAAGCTCTTTGTATTTTGTTCTTTGTCGTTTAAAGATTTTTGATGGCTATATACATTACTCGTATGTTTTTTTTAGTTTAGTTAATAGAATATTTATTTCTGTTTCTCTGTAGCTTCATACCAAGCTTTACACTAATTTACATTTTGACACAATTCTGTCTTTAACTCAAAGTCAACGTCACATTGTGACTGACGGTCAGACAGTCAGTAAGTCTTTCATGGACCAGATATTTATTACTGTTTGATAGTTATGATATTATTTTTTGTGGGGTGCCCTCTCTGAGGAGAGGACTGGTCTGTCTTATGTATATGCTGCTGGCCCTTGCCAGAGCAGTGTTTCTCGGGTCCGAGTCCCATATTTTACTGTCTCAGATTTGAGACTTCCCTTTAAGCCTCCTCCTACAACTCGCAGGGTCACGGTGGAGGTATTCAACCCCGCCTCCACACAGGGGTGATATACTCGTAGCAATGGAATCCCTGTTGTCGCGTGTTGGAACGTGTTTATGGAGTTGTTGCCTAGCAATAATCACATTCGCTTCTGCTATTATCCCACAGTTTTTACCTAGCCTTTGCCTAGAACTGGCTAATATATCAATATAAAATCCAGTATCAGTTTAGTTAATGTTTTTAACTAAACTGCTACCCCGATCGCTTTACCCCCGATATCCATTGGGTAAGAAGTTGGGTGGATCGCAGAGCCGGTCTGGACGACGTGGGGAAGAGAAAATTCTTAACCCTACCAGGACTCGAACTCCGACCCATTGGCTGTCCAGCCCATAGCTAGTAGCTATATCGACTGCGCTATCCCGGGTCTTAGTCTGCATGTAATACATAAAAAACATGAGAAATATATATATATATATATATACCGCTGGGAATATAACAACTTAGATTACTTCATCATTCATATAGGGTCATATTAGTACTAAAAGCACAGTAAATGCACAGAATGGTACTGCATACATTTGACGTATATATGTCGGAGCTTATGTGGTTCTGAACAAAGCTGGGATTTCTAGCGTAAAATGTGGCAGAAACAATCCATTTCTCACAAAGGCACGGAACCCTAAACATTTCCAAGCTTAAGTAGGATTATTCTCCATAGCAGGAATTAAACGGGCACTGTCACGTGTTTGAGTTAAGCACTGTACGTCAACGATACGGGGTCATACGAGAATTCTTGATCATTTCAGCTCATTTCAACTCACTTTCCAATTCTGTTCCAAAGTATTTCTCTCACTACTCAGAGATGGGGGGACCTATTAGGCGGCAATTTTGAAGTAGGCTCAACTTGATGGTACAGGACAAATGATGGGAGAAATGGAACAGTTCTGTAAGACATACAAGTTAACTAATTAACTCTAAACAGCAGAGGCCTCCTTAAGAAACCAAGAGTTGCTCAGCTGTATAATGAAAACCCGGTACTTTATACAAAGTCGTTCCCTATCCTGAGCTAAATGAATCCAGTCCATAGCCTCCCGTCTTATTTCTTTAAGTTTCATTTTAATATTATCTTCCCATCTATGCCTAGGACTTCAAACTGATCTCATTTATTCAGATTTTTCCACCAGAAATTTTATATCGTTCTCCTCTCTCATTCGTGCTACATGTCCCATTACCTCATCGTCCTTGATTTAATAATTTAGTAATATTTTGAGATGAATGAAAAATTTTGGAGCTCTTAATTATGAAGTTTTCTCAAACCTCCCATTACAAGGACCTTCTCTCTCTTAGGTCGAAACGTTCTCCCAGCGCACTATTCAGACATCTTCGGCCTAAGGTCCTTATACTACTCGTACACTGGGATTGTATCTGTTTCATAGCAACTTATACACAATGTAAACATGGCGGTCTTCTTAGGCATTAAATTATTAAGGAGAAATATGAAGAACGAGTGAGAGCAAGAATCTTTAAAATTGACAATATTTATCCCATTTAGTTGCATTTGATAATGTAAACACTGTTCACGATTATTAGTTTAAGAAGAACCCATTTTTATATGAGTCTATATATTTTTTGGACTTTAGAACAAATATTTTCACTAATTTTGCATTTTAATAGAACATAACTAATATTTCAATGGTGTGACTCGAAACGGTCTTGGACACCGAAGAAAACAGATGGTAACATGAACCTACACCAAGAATAGCAGTTGATAACATTAAATTACGCAGAGACTTTTTTTTTCCTTGGCACTACAGCCCCAGTGGGCCTAGGCCTACCTCCATGAACTTCTCCGTTCACTTCGGTTTTTCTAGATCTTACACATTCGGTAGGACTCCTTGGGCGGGTGATCAGCTCGTCGCAAGGCCTCTACCTGTACACAAACGCAGAAAAACGCACACACACAAACTAAACTTCCATGCCCAGAGTGGGATTCGAACCCACGATCCCGGTTTCCAAGCGAGCGAAGACAGTACATGCCTTAGACCGCTCGGCTACCGTGACCGGCCTTACACAAAGACTAGCAGTTGATAATATGAACTTGTACCAAGAATAGCAGTTGATAACATTAAATTACACAAAGACTAGCAGCTGATAATATGAACTTGTACCAAGAATAGCAGTTGATAACATTAAATTACACAAAGACTAGCAGTTGATAATATAAATTTGCACCAACAGTAGCAACTGACTACATGAATTTTCACCAACAATACAAGTTGATTATATGAACTCACCCCAAGACTATCAGCTGATAATATGAACTCACCACAAGACTAGCAATTGAACAATTTACAGATAAATGATTAAATCCCTTAATTGTGCTGTAACTTGGAAACATATGAAAAGTCGACTTTTATTTCTTCTTTTCAATTGATATATGGTAACGCAACATCATGCAATTAAAGAAAGAAGAAATGTCATTTTAAGTAATGAACGTCACGTTTTCTATTTCAACTTTGAATGGGGTGGGGGGTTACCAGAAATTCCATTACGGACCATTGTTTCTGCCATTTATTAGGATTCTCTTAGGCTTACGAAACCATCAAGATGATAATTGCAGTGCTGGAGATAGGAAATTACACCAATACGTTTTCGTGCTGCACATTCGTATTAATTTCTGTGCGTTGTCTCTTTCTGTCCAGATTCCACTACGTCATCAGTGACCCAGGAGCCTCCCACCCCCAGCCTAGCGGCGCCGCTAGACTCCCTTAACGAGGTGGCCGCAGTTGCGCCGCCAGGCGTCTCCGTCCACCAGAAGACGGAAGCCCCGATGCTTGGTTACATATTCGATACTCATTCAAATCTCAATAAACATCACCATCACGATCATAAGTGGGGACCACACTTCGAAGAAGTGGAGTTGGGAGCCAATGCTACCAACATTACCGTCCAGGTTGGCAGTACTGCCAACCTCAACTGTAGGATAAGTCTCTTGCAGGATAAAACGGTGAGTTGGGTTTAGATCCTGGTACGGGTTGCTGTTTCATGATTTGACTGATTTACAGATGCTATGACTAACTTATGGACCGCCTCTGTGGTCCAGTGGTCAGAGTTCATGCCTACAGATCAAGAGGTCCGGGTTCAATTCCCTGCTCTACCAGATTTTTCTGAGAAGTAGTGGGTCTGGAACGGGGTCCAATCAGCCTCATGAGGAAAACTGAGGAGATATGTCAAGGAAAAAGCGGCTCCGGTCTAGAAAACCGAAATTAACGCCCGTGGGGATTCGTTGCACTGACCACGCGACACCCTCTTCCCGCAAAAGTTGGTACTAACTTCGCCGACAAGCGGCGGTCGCTCGGTCGATATAGTTCGCTTGCCGACTAAAAACCATGAACTTTGTTTTTGTTTGTATGAATAACTTAGGAGCCCAGATTAATTTCTTTAATACCGGTAAAAGGAGGAGTGTGCTAGCAAAGTTTATGGCAAAAATTTCTACTGATAAATGAATGTATAAAATTATTCTGCAGTCTGAAAACATATGGGTAGTTAACCAGTAGTTAACTTGAATGCAAGTCTAAATCTTCACCTGACATTAAACATAAAGAATAATATAATTTTAGCTAAAATTAATATTTCTATAATTTTAAAATACTTTATTGGTGAACAGAGAATTATTGAGAAGGAGGGACCGTTCAAGAAGAATGTTCATTAAATACGTAAATTAGTCTATATAGACTATTCATCTTAGTGTCACATTTTACTACTAAATAATTCAGAACACAAGAAAAAAGCTATTGACTTTAAATGAATAATTAAATGAACTGCATAAATTTAGTCCCTCCTGAATTTCTTCTTTCACACACATAAGCATCTAAAGGCGATAATACAGTAATATTACTGGCTTAAGACTGGATGATCTCATGAATGATACATTTTCATCTTATCACCAAACCCAGAAAAACTACTTCATTTGCCTGTGATTAATATCAGCATAATTCCTTCCCACACACCGGAACTACTAAAGACTTTAATGTTATTACATTACACTTGAGACTTCAAAACCATGTCAACATTGAAGCGTCCAGACTTCTCAACGTGAACAATATCATTAGACGACTCAAACGGAAGAAACCGTTCGAACTAGTTAAATGTTAAAGTACTAAGTAATTCAGTGGAAGTGACTTCGCTTTAATTTACATAGTATATTAGGTTTAGAAAAAAATAATCGTCAGTTATCAAACTAGTTTTAATTGTAATTAAGTTCTGGGTTACTTAGTCTTTAATTAATAAACAAAAAAAAAAATACATTACACTATCTGAATTTTGTTTCAAGGCTTTTAAAATGTTCTCCCCAATTATTCTCTGTTCAAATAACTTTGTGTTCTCTGTTAGACGAACCACTGGAAATGCATATTATTTTATATTATTTTTAGTGGGGTGAGACTGAGTCCACTATGAACTGCGGTCACTACTGGCCTATTGTACCAGTCCCAGGTGATAGATGAGTTTGATTGTGGAGCAATTGGTGGAATGCGAAATGATAGGGGAAACCGAAGTACTCGGAAGAAAACCTACCCCAGCGCTACAGAACCCACAAGACCTGACCCGGACCAGAACTCGACTCGCCGCGTTGTGAAGCCACCAACTAACCGCCTGTGCTATGACGCGGCCGTGGAAATACACATCTTCCGGTTATGTCCCTCGCCGCTGCCCTAGATAGAGCGCTGCTTCACTACTCCTATGTACGAAGTCAATATCTGCTTCAGGAAAATCGTGGAGTGTACCTTCTGCAAGCACAATCATAACACATCCTTCCGAAGTTAGACAACAATGGCTGTTTATATAGCAAGAACCGAGGTTCGGAATCCAACGAAGGAAGTGGGCCTGTTTATTCTGAACGAGATAAATTACACGTTCTTTCGAAGCGGAACACAAAAAGAACTTGAAATCCTATTTTACATCTTTACTGACATATTAGCTGTGTAGTCAGCCAGTCACTCCAATTTGGGAGTCACTCACTAAGAGACAGCCATATAAGTCGTTATGTTATCATTAAAAATCCACTAGATTCTACAATATTTTCAGCATACAATGCGAAGCAAAATCGTCATATCAGTGGTTTTGTTGAACATACAGAACATTTATTCCGTAAGTATGCCTGCTCATTACAAACTTACCCGGAGAAATGGTTTAATTTTAAATTGTGGTTTAAATTGTGATACCGTTTGGTCTTACGGATGGTTACTGACTTTTCTGAGTAACTTTCTTCCTCAAATTTTACCGAAAAAATTAGACGATGTCACAACCTATAGACAACAAACTAAATCGTTAAGTCCGTGAGATTCCTAAGCTCGTAATACTGGAAAGTGTTCTTTCTGCAAAATGTGACTCACTTCATGAAGTTCTGTGCAGGTTGAGGTAAACTGTAATAAACTGATATGGGCGAAGACAAAATTATACAAATTATGCACGAAAGAATCTAGTTTAATAAAAGAGTTCTTTGGACAGATAAGTACAAGTATATTAAAGTGTTTTAGTCTGCTGAGCCGGTCACGGTAGTAGAACGGTCTAAGGTTCCCACACAAGGCATGGATGTTTGGTGTGTGTATGCGTTTATTCTGTGTTTGTGTTGTCCTGTGTTTAGATAGAGGCCTTGCGACGATCTGATCACTCGTCCAAGGAGTCCTAACGTCTGTAAAATGATCAAGAAACTGAGAAATCAGTCTTATGCTCCAAATTTGGAGCAAGAGGAGAGAAAATCTGTTGAAATCCCGCGAGATAGAACTCATCAGAACCATAGTAATGATAACATCAGATTCTATACTGACAAGCGTACTGTTTCCTCCTGTGACCGACAGGTGTCGTGGGTGAGGCGGAAACACGGTGAGGATGACCTGCAACTCCTGACCGTGGGGTTACACACGTACAGTGGGGACAGTCGTTACACCGTGGAGTTCCAGTACCCCAATAACTGGCGGCTCCAGATCAAATTCACGAACAAGAGAGATGAGGGCACGTACGAATGTCAAATTTCCACGCACCCACCTAAGGTCATACAGATACATTTGCACATCAACGGTGAGTAACATCTTGAAAGTTATGCTCCTTGATTTTTCATTCGTGGGGTTGGGTGAGATTAAGTCACTTTGCACGACGGCCATTATTGGGTCTACTGTACCACCCAAAGCTGAAAAAATGAGTAATGAGCATTCGGTGGAAAGCGAAACAGAAGTACTACATGTTAGCCTACCCCAGCACCACTTAGTCCACTATAAATCCCACATGATATGACTTTTGACTGAATCCGCGCCGTCGACCACTGCTTGAGCTATAACATGGTCGAATTTATATTTTCTTGGGGTATAGGCATAATTGAAGAGCTATTTCAGGGAAATAGCGGCTCCGGTCTAGAAAATCGAAATTAACGGCCGTAGGGATTCGTTGCGTTGACCACGCGACACCCTCTATCCGCAAAAGTTGGCACTAACTTTGCCAGGCGGCGGTCGCTCGGTCGGTATAGTTCGCTTGCGGACTAAAATCATGGAGTTTTTTTTGGGGGGGGGGCTATAGGCCTGGTTACAACGCATGATACTCCGCAACGTGACACTATTCCCGCCTTGAAATCATCGTGGTTAGCTTATGAGCAGACAGCACAAGCGAAGCAAGCTGTCGTTATGGAAGGCAAGATTTTAGGGCCAGCATATTGTATAACCCAGTCTGTTTTATTTTTGTTAAATTAAAAATAATTTTTGCTGCAGTTCTGTTCGTATCTTAACATATTATGCGGCAATACCCTTTCAACAATCTCTAGAGTTACAACAATGGGGACTGTTTTCGTAACACTCTTCAAATTTCGTGATATTAACTGCAACGAAGTTTTGTACTAATGTACCATGGTAACAAAATTTTAAATCTTATTCAAATCCAACAACTTTAATTTGTGAAACTAAAAAATATAAATTCCTTCTTGTAAATTTACTGCTTATTCTAACGAACCGTTTTCAATCTAATAGTGGAACCCGTAGCAGGTCTCTAAACATATAAGAACTCACACTGACCGAAGACCCGGATCAGGTTCATTATTCCTTGTTTTTCATGTAGAGATGAAGTCACAGGAAGTTGGAGAAAACTGCATAATGAGGAGCTTGTACTCTTCTCTAAGTATAATTACAAAGATCAAGTCAAGGAGGATGACGTGGGCAGGTCATGTAGCACGAATGGGAGAGACGAGGAATGCGTATAGGAGATTGGTGGGAAAGCCAGAAGGAAAGAGACCACAGGGAAGACCAAGGCGTAGGTGGGTGGACAATATTAGAATGGATATTAGAGAGATAAGATTGGATGGTATGGATTGGATAGATCTGGCTCAGGATAGGGACCAGTGGAGGGCTCTTGTGATCACGGTGATGAACCTTCGGGTTCCATAAAATGCTGGGAAATTCTTGAGTAGCTGCAGAATTGGCCGCTCCTCCAGAAGGGCTCAGTTCCATGAGTAAGTAAGTAAGTAAGTAAGTAAGTAAGTAAGTAATATTTAAAAAAGAAACATGTACAGAAGAGATATATTTCAGAAAAGAGAACTCGCCATAACCATTATTATGATAACCTCGAACCCAGCATATTCTGTATTCACCCAAGCAATTATTTAACCTGTAACAAGTCTAAAATGTTGGTATATCAAACAGAATTTCCTGTGAAAATATCTGAATGTATTTAAACAAATATTAGCCGTTGGTTTGGAAGCTGTGAATTACTGAAAGACGAGTTGTTTCCGGCGCTGATGGATGCGGTCAATTAGCACAGTCGTTCTGGACTGCTAATCATCTGATGAATGTAGGGCCTACCGCCGGCTTACAGCGCGACCCATATGTTTCAACAACTGCTGCGAAAAAGAAGCAAGAGATCTGGAAACCGTGTCCTGAGGGCCTATTGTTGTCTGGAAGTTCTAGAAAATCCTATTACCCACACTAGAACTTGTTCTAAATCCAGCCTCAGTAATAAATGTTCTCGAAACAGAGCAGCCCAATTTCATTTATCAGTGTCAAAAATGTGGTTTTCTCTTAAGAAATCGGTGCCAAGGAGGAAGTACATCTATTCTTGTCGTTAATAAGGGAAGCATGGATCCGAAACGGATCGTACTGGATTATGAAATGAAAATTCTTCCTTCACTACGGCTCTGTTAAACTCTGTCTTACTGATTCCTCTGTAAAGGAGAGACTGCCATTTAGATTCGTTAAGAGTGTCCGCCGAAAGAGACGAAATTTGTAAAGTATTTCGAAGTAAATTATTCAAAAGTAGGCTACAAATTCTTTCCTTCCAAGCATTTTCTATTTCCGCTTTCAAACTACAACGTAGGTATCATGAATACAGACAGAATCCAAGATTTTGGAACGTATATTATCTCATTCGTCGTAAGAACTTCAGAGCTTGAAAATATTTAGATAGAATAATTTTGTTCATATCACATTATATTATTATTATTATTTTGTCTTTTAGTTATATATGTATTTCTATGTACTCGTGCCAACTTTGTTATTGGCCTCTATGCTCTTAAGTTTGCACGTAAATGAACACGAATTGAATTGAATTAT